TGCCTTAATATCGATGAAGAAGTTCTAATTCCATTAGCAGATTATTTTACTTTTAACCTGGGAAAATGTTTTGTTGTGATTGAAATAATTCGCCAGTGCAACTAGAACTTATTTTTTTAAACTAATACTTAGGGATTATTTGCTAAAAATAAGCTCTCATATCTTGCAGAAAAGCTGCTTGTTTTGTATTAATTCAAGTGCATCAAGATATTCACACTATAAACTATAAAAATAGTTGCTAAGATTTTGTGTTTTTGCAGTGTAAAAGTTTTAATATTAATTTTAGTTTTACCAAATATCCTTGAAGTGAGACTCTGTAAATACCTGGACTGGTGATTGTGTTCCAGTTGCTGCGTTTCTATTAACCGTAAAATCGCATGAATTGGAATTATTAAAATAAATTTGTTTTCTGGAAACATGGAAAAACTTTTGGAAAAACTCAGGTGTATAAATTAAAAAGTTTGGGTGATAGGATGTAGTGGCTTTTCCAAAATTGATTTATTTCTCAAAGCTGCAATGGAAACACATTTTTGTTGCGTCACACGAATCACAGGAAGTTACTACTGCTGGAAACAACAAATAAGACGATAACAGGAAGTAGTTGGAGGATGATGACGCCACGTGTTTTTTATTGACTTTTTACGTGAACAAACTTATTCACATATGATTCTTATTGTGTTTATTGAATGGAAACAACACAGTTGTGAAATTGTGAAGCAGTTAACTAATTTTGGCACAGCTGGAGTCAGTAAATGTCTTTTTAAAGTTAGCTAAAGAGCTAAGCAAGGAGTTAGCAGAAGTGTGCCCTCTAATGTAGGCAGTTAAATGTGTGTCAAAGGTCAGAGCTGATGTGACCTGTTAGCCTCATGAGTTTTCATCTCTGGTGTTTTTAACCAGCTAAGGTCTTCATCCAGTAAGAACTCCTTTCTTATCTTCTTAGCCTCCAGTTATCATCTATGTCTTGTTTATGATCTTAATAACATCTGTTAAAGAACAAGCTGAACCAACAGTTATAAACGCTCCATTGTCAAGAGATGGAGACTTAAATCTTGACGAAATTATAAATTTGTACCGTGTGTTTTTATTTCAAAGAACTCCCTGTTCTGGACCATAAAGCAGGACACGCAGCTGAAGAACATGATGATCAGGGAAACTAAAATCTTACAAAAACACACAAAATACTGGATGTGACGAACTTCACTATCAGATCCAGATGGTTATCTCCGAACATGGACGGCGATCAAACACAGCCAAGCAAATGTTGCAAATCTGGTTCCGGTTATCAGATTAAATCCATGTTGCTTTAGATCTCAAAACCCAGAAAATTAAACCATAAATTCAGATTTTCTTCCATTTAAACCCATCTGGTGCTGTTGCAACCCAACTTACTTCCCCCAGATCTGATTCCTGTGAGAAAATCAGTCAGTTTAACGAGCTGCTCCTTAATTTCTTTGCTTTCAACAGGAAACTGAAGCTGGAGAAGGAGCTGGCTGGGATGCTGTGGAGGATTCGGTGGGAGGACCTTCAGTTCGAAAGCCCCAATAAATACCACAAACGAGCCGGCAGCAGGTTGACCCTCTCACAGGTAGATGGACCTGGACAGATTGGTGTGCAGCAGTAAAAGCCAGTAATGATGCAAAGCCCTTAGATGAGGCGATATCCACTTGATCTCACATTAAAAGCTGTTTGTTTTGGTTTTTATTGAGCTGTGCTACCATTTCAAACTGTGTTTGATTTAATCAAACTGGATGAAATTCAAAAAGCAGTTTTAAAGTTTCATTTAATAAGGGGAAAACCAATATTTAAACCAAGAAAATAGCCCCAGTTAAACCGCGAATTAACCAGATTTGTTTGGAAATCTGAGGCCAATTTCTGCAGCGACACTCAGGAATGATTACGGTTCATCTCTTAATGCCTTTTTGAGTTGGCCTAGTCAAAGGCAAGGCAAGTTTATTGGCATTTCAAAGTAGTTAAATATATTATAGTGTGATGAATACTAAATAAAAGTAATGGCAGCGTGACTATAGATTAAATTAAGGATGTTCCAGTTATTATTAATCAAAGGCAACTCTAACTAGGGTTTTAGCTTTGGTTTAAAGGAACTCAGTGTTCCGGCAGTTTTTCAGTTTTCTGGACTTTTGTTCCAGATTAGAGGTGAATAAAAACTGAATTCTCCATGTCTGGTTCTGGTTCTGATTCTTTTTAGACCAGAACCAGAAGACCTGAGAGGTTTGGAAGGTTGATAAAAGGTAAACGGACTGAACTTATGTATCACTTTTCCAATCATTTTGATACAACAGCAGCAAATCCGTTCACAGATCTGCCTTTAAAGTCAGTCAGAAAGCTGCAGCTGATATAAATTACTGTTGCAATAATCAGTGTGACTACAGAGGAACACCTGGATGAGTTTCTCTAGATTTTTATGGGATATTTAATCCTGAAAATGTTCTTCAGGTGATAGAAGGCCGACTTTGTTACTGTCTTTATGTGACTCTGAAGGTTCAGGTCAGAGTCCAGCCTTACACCCAGAACGGGAGTATTGAACAGAGCGACTGAAATTGTTTGCAAACTTGTTTTTGCCAGTTTATTCATGGTTTCTACTTGTTAGTGTCAAGCAAGTTATTTTCATAATTTACCGTCTATTAAAAGAGCGTTCCTCAGATTAATTTCACTCCCTGCTGCGGCAGCTGTGAAATTAACGTAATAACCCGATATTGGCTGGAAAGCGCAACATCTCCCCTTTCAGTATCCGTTGGAATTTTTCAGATAGCGCCAAGTGTGGCGGAATGACGGTACTGCAAATTCGGCCGTGCCGTTCGTTGTAGTTGGGTTAACCTGGATTAATTTTTAAAAATGGTTTAATATTTTTACACATCATAGTTTTGGTTTTTGAATATTTAATTTTTGGAAAAGCTGGTTTTTTTTCTCCTTTGCTCTTTTCCATAGTTCAGTGATGTCATCACGCTCAGGGCGGCCATCTTGTTTCATAAGCATGTTTTACAGCTTCTGTTCATTAGGACTTTGAATTCAGGTGAACTTTATGACCAAATGTAACAGTTAGGCCAAGATTTTTAAATTAAGAGAATAAAGTCATCATATTACAAGAATACAGTCGTAATGGAACGATATAAAGTCAAAATAATGTGAGAATAAAGCATTAATGTTACCAGAATAAAGGAGAATATAGATGTTGATCCTCTTTTGGTTTTACAGATTAGGTAATAATTTAAATTTGAACAAATAAGCATCAACTTATGTTTAGTAGCAGGACTTTAATAACTCTATAAGCTTCTTTTCATCATTTTAAGACGTTCTGGTAAAATTTCGTCTTTATTTTGCCAATATTCTCGTAGCGTTCCTCTACTACTTCATCATACAACTCGGACAAGGGATTATTGGAATAAAATCCACTTTTTGAAAATATTTTGTGGCATTTTTAGAAAGGAAAGCAACAAAATCTGTAATATTGCATGTAAAATTATGATTGAACCATTTCTTTTGTTTATTTTTTTGCTCCAATCTGAGCTGCAGCCCTGACAGAATCCCAAATCCTCTGCGCGTTTACACATTCCTGAAAGCTTTTCCAGCGGTTTGATCCAAGGTGGCTGGGCTTGCAGCGGCAGACGCACATTAAACGGTCGTTAAAGTAAGCCCCGGGTCTGGCCTCGCTCCTCGCATTCAGGGTGCGAAGCCCTAATGCGTCTCCTCTCCCACACGTGCAAGCGTTCATGGAAATCACAGGCACACACCTTTTTAACGACTGCCTCTCTGTCTTGTTCTGATAGTGGGAAATGCCTTGTTTTTCCAAACTTCTCCCGCTTCCCACTTTTCCATTTTGCAATCATTACAAACGCAGATTGAACAGCTGGTTTTTAGGAATCCAGAAACATAATTCTTGTAGTTTTCTGTGATGTGAAACTCGGTAACAGACGTCTGATCTTCCTCTCTGCTCCTCTCCATCTTCCCAGAGAGGATCCAGCTACGGCTCCCTGATAACTGCCCATGGAAAATATCAGCTATTTGCAAAAACCGGCTATTTTAAGGTAAGGCTTAGTGAGTTCTGACATTTTCAACTCCTGCACACTCCTTTCCCACCCACACACATGTGCAGAGAAAGAAAGCCGGAGAGCTGGAGAGAGGCGAGAGAAAGAGAGGGTGTGTGGGCGAATTTAGGTAGTTGGTTTTAATGTGAGCTGCAGAATGCGTCAGTTTGCTTTTCTGTTTATTTTTTTTTATTTGTGTGTGTGTGTCTGGTTCTGTAACTCCTTCAGTCTGAACACAACCATTAATTTGTTGCTGCTAATTTTTTCTGCGCTATACAGAGGGGGGTGAGACAAAGAGCTGTATTTAGCAGAAAGATGTTTATTTTTGTTTAAATGGGAACGCGGATGAACTTCTGAAGTTCTCCTCGCTGACCTGAGGTGATTAAAACGCAGAGAGAGAAAACATGGTGATGTAACGTCCCTGACAACCTGCAAAGCTTCAATACAAGGTGTTTTCTCTGCAGTGAGAGATCCTTCGACTGCATGTTTCCCGTTTAACAAAAGTCATATCTCCATATTAAATCAGACCCAGCGGCTGACCTTGCATTGCTGCTACAGAGGCAGCTTATTTTTTCCTCTGCAGACGGTCGCGTCTTCTCCGCTGGGGAGTTTCAGCTCTAGTTTGCAGGAAAGTCTGCAGATCTTCAGCAGACCTGGATGTTCTGTCTGCAGAAAACTGGTTTCACAGCCGCTTTTATGAATTATGTGATGTTTTCTTAACCGATTAATCGTTTAAGCCCTATTGGCAAATGATTAATTGTGATTAATCGATTATTGAAATAATCGTCATCTAATTTAGTAATCGATTTATCATTAACTAGAGTATACAGACTCAAGATAGATCATTTGGTGAAAAGAAAATATTTTCAGAGCAGTATGGAAGGCAAAGCTGTTGAATTTTAGGCGATATAATGTTAGTTTTCTTAAGTGAAAAAGTCTCTTCTAAATTGTTTAAATGAATTTTAGCTCCTTTCTAAGATTATCCAAGGAAATTTCTTTTGAATTTTGTTCTGTTTTTATGCAGAATATTATTGGTGATTTCACAGGTGTTTTGTGTTGCACACAGGGGAACCTGGTGGCCATTAAACATGTCAACAAGAAGAGGATAGAGCTGACCAGACAAATACTAATGGAGCTGAAACATGTGAGTATTTTATGTAAACATCCTTTACAGAGGACAACAACGCCACTTTACGTTTCAGGATTCAGCACCAAATAAACACTCAGATGTTTCCCACACAGAGAACTGAGTCTGTTATAGTTTTATGTTTTCAGGCTTGATGTTTATTTTCGATTATTAATAAGTGATCGCTGTGGTAGATTAGCTATTAGCTAAGCTAACACTGTGGCAGTTGATTAGCTAATTTAAACACCTGCTCTACTGATGATGTCAGAGTTGTTGCCTTTTTTTAGTTTTTAAATAAACCGAAACACAGAATTCCACAGCACATCTACATGTTGTGGTTATCATAGTCAAGCTAGCATAGCTGGCCTACTTCCCTCTCCCTTGCTATTTTTTCTTAATTAAAACTTTTCGGACCTTGTCATAGCGCAGCAAAGCACTGCGTCCCTTTTTATTTTATATATAAGGCATACATTTAAGATTTAGCTTGTCACATTGATAGCTTAACAGCTAAAGCTAATGCTAGTCACCTTTAGCGAGCAGCTTTTTGCCCTCCAGCAGGGAGAAGGGGTGGGATGTCACGCTGTGTTTAGGAAAATTATTTTTTGTTTTGGGAGAGAGAGATACACTGAATCCATCAGAGAAATGCACATTTGTCTTTAGATATTTAGAAAATCAGAGTAAATATCAGAGATCAGTGAGAAAAAAGCAAGAGAGAAGAAGAAGCGAAGCTTAACACATACAGTTCTCCTTGTATATCTTATCAGTACGCGGCGCCTCCCACCCAGCTGTAGGGAGTTTCTCAGTTTCTCCCGTCTCTGGCTAATTGGTACCTCAGGTCCTAAATCAAACCCGGTTCAAAGGAGTTTCAGTTGGAAAGAGAAGATAAACATCTTCACTGAAACCTCCGTTATCAGTTCCATAAATATAACACTTAGTCAGAAACCTTCGTTATCAGCTGATTCTTCCCAGGAAATAAGCAAAAGTTTTATTTTAAAATACAGCTGCAATATGTCAAATCCGTCCACTCAGTTCTGTTTTGCTATTTTTTCAAAATCCAACAATTTGTTAAAAACAGAGCTGGTGTGGAGTCATTTCACAAAATTCAGCCAGATTCACTCAAGAAGACATTCGTCAGTGGTTTTCTGAAATGCCTGTGTGTAAATAAACTGTCTTGACATTCAATTAAAACAGCTGCAGTCAGAGGAGAAATGAATCCGTCTTCCAATCGATGCGCCTTTACAGGAGTTTGAATCTGTTGCTGACTTAATAAACCCTCCAACCAACAAATGAAAGTCTGGCTTTTATCAATATGTTCAAGCATCGCTGAGTGTTGCTGCTAGTTTGTTACCTAGAAACTAATATCCTTAAACCTCCTTTTTGACACAAACGGCAGCAGCGGCTGATGAAAAGGCCCCTCCGGCTGGGAAATATTTACGAGTAAGCGATAAGGAAGCTAGAGGAAAGACAAAAATCTCACAACTTAATGTGGTTTGGTGATGGAAACTCGCCGTGGCATCAGGGGGGAAGCCATAACTTGGAAATTACACTGGCAGACACGAACAAGACGGATGCTTGTGGCTGTTGATCATTCTTGTAGCCTGCAGCTCTTGTAGCTTTAGCTCTGCGGTTCGGCAGTGAATTTTGGGTCATTTTGTGCGAAGCCGTTTCTGAGAGGACGGGTTAGTGGCCGTCGGTCTGCGATGCCCCGCGGGCCTGATGGCCTGTCAAACCTCAGCTCAGGGGAAGGAGAGAACGCCAGCCAGATGGGGGGAGACGGCTGGGCCTGCCAGTGGAAACTTAACCGCTTGTGTTCCAGGGTGCAGCAGAGGAAAATAAATGGGGCAAAGGGTAGGCTAACAGCGTCTCCCGAGCCGTGAAACAGGAGCCGCTAACGCTCGGCGTTTGCCGTGAGAGCGGCTGTCAGTCACGGCGGGTCGGAGAAGAAAAGAGCGCTGTTGAAGCGATGTTCTTTTGAAGCTGGCTGCAGGTTTTTCTGACTGCTGCCTCTGTCAGCGCGTTTACCGGCTGGAGTGAAAGCGTCGGGATGGTGCCATTTGCTCCTACAAAAGAGAAATTCACACCTTCGCATGAAAGGAATCTGGCAGCAAATGTTCCCTGTCTCAACCTCAAACATCTGCACTGGACGTTATTATAAAACCAGCATTTGATTATATCCAATGTTCCTAGTTAGGGCTGAAACCATTAATCACAGTTAATCGATCATTCAAATATAACATCTTTGTTTTCTTAAAGATGTTAAAACAACATATCTGCCCTGAAATATTAAGAAAAAACTCCTCAAATCATGTTGTTCTTGCTTCACCTGGTTCAGATTTACCAAAGGAATGTTACGGTATCGTCTTTTAGGAAATAAAATGTTAATTTTTAAATTAAAAAAAACATTTGAATAATCTATTTGCATCTTTTACTGTATTTCTAATATTTTACAAAAAAGACTTAAGTGGTTAGTTGAATATTTTTTAGCAGATTAATTATCAGAATAATCGATGGCTTCCAGTAGGGCTGAAACGATTAATTGCAATTAATTGATTAATAAAATATAATAATTGCAGTTAAGAGAAAAACACCTTTGTTTGTAAACACGTTTTATCCAAAACTCCTCATTCGTAAAGTTTTAGCTTCACCCGGTTTAGATTTACCGGCTGCTACAGTATCGCATTTTAGACGATAAAATGTTTATTTTCTAAATTGAAAAAAACTTTCAATTATCTATTTGCATCTTCTGCTGTATTTCTAATATTGTATAAAAAAGACTTAAGTGGTCAGCTGAAAAATCTGTAGGATTTTATCCATTTAATTGTTCAATTTAACGATTAATCGTTATGTTAAGCGATTAATCGATTGCTAAGTTAATCGTTAGTTCCTAGTTTCTCGCCTCCTTCTTGTTCCACTTTGATATTCCTGCCCAACACGACTTTTTAACGTTTTTTTTAATCAAACCCTCCTCTGCACACTGGCCCATTCATAACCTCTCGCAGTACTTGCACATGTGTCAACTCGGTTCCCTCAACACATAGAAACAGAGCCGGCACATCCAGGTCCACTGCAAACAGACTATTTTGATGAAAAGCTGGCAGCGTTGTCCTGAGGAGTCGGTGCCTAAATGAGCCGTCAGTGCTCTGTTTCCGTGGGGTTTGGGAATGTGATGTTTGGAAAGAGTCGGGCTCACAGCCGCCGCGGCGTGTTTGTGCGGTTATTTTCAGATGAGAGACATTCAGTTCAACCATCTGACCAGGTTCATCGGGGCCTGCATCGACCCGCCCAACATCTGCATCATCACCGAGTACTGCCCCAGAGGAAGCCTGCAGGTAACTTCAGCACAATGACTTTTCACTTTTTGACATGTTGCAACCACAAACTTTAGTTTATTTTTTTAGGATTTCATGTTAAAGAAATGCTACGTATTTGTGAAGTGGAAGGAAAATGTAAAGATTTAAATTGTCCTAACAAATTAAACTCTGTTTCTCTTTATTCTGATACCAAGGAGCAAACATAGTTCTGATAATCCGCTAATACTGGAGCTACTTTTTTATTAGCGATTTAGCTAACTTTGAAAACGTTTAGCGCGCCTAGCTTCTCCTGAAATAAATTTTTCCACATAAATACAAAAGCGCTAATTTTTTTGGCTCTTTTGGAAACTTTTAGTTGAATAAAGTTCAACATCTGTGAAGACTGTTGAACAAAAGTTGAACATTTTCTCCCAAAAAAATTCTAGAAAAATTTTTGACTTTGCAAAATTTTGTCTAAAATAAAATAATTTTAGAAAATTCTAAAATATGAGATTAAACTCCAAATTTGAGTTTTTTCTGGAACATTTTTGATTTTTCAAACTTGGAAATTCCAAGATTTACTAGAAACATTCTGACACTAATCTCAAAATTTCTTACTTTTTTTCTCGCAAATTTTAGACATCCAAAGTTGGAATATTCTTTGTTTTATGTTCTGAGATAAATCTAAAAATTTCAGTGTTTTTTAACTGAAATGCTAAACTTTTGAGGTCAAATATGAGCTTATTTTTTCCAAGAAAGTTTTTGAGACTTCTCTCAAAATTTCTGAATTTTCTTGCATATTTTTCACTTTTGGAAATCATAAATTAGCTTTTTTTTCTAGAAAATTTCTCAGATTAATTCAACATTTCTCAGTTATTTTTCTTGCATATTTTCAACATTTGGAGGTTAGAAATGTAATTGTTTTTTTCTAGAAAATTTCTGAGATAAATGTAAAAATGTCAGAGTTTTCTTTTTACATACAATGTCTCTAATACACCATCATACTTTCGTCTTAAATAAACTTCTGAAATAACTTTTTAGCTGATAAAAAATGCTTGATAGTCCAGGGTTCTCTTGGCCAGGACTCCTGACTTCACAGGGAATCTGTGATAAAGCTGAACTTGAATGTTTTTAACATTTGGTGAGACAGAAAAGGCGTCTAAGCCGATGTGATGTAGCTCTGGATTCCAGGAAGCAGGTCAGCTCGGGTAAACGTTCGCAGTTATTCATTAATATCCTGCCACGGTCAGTGAAGATGAACAGAAAAGGAAAAAATGTTGATTCTTTGCTTCATCCTAATGTAAACTCTCAGTTTGCTTTGGCAGATGAAAAGTCACGTTTTCTTTTTCGATCTGCTCTCGCTCTCCCAGGACATTTTGGAGAACGAGAGCATCAACCTGGACTGGATGTTCCGCTACTCGCTGATCAATGACATCGTGAAGGTGAGTGGCCTTCAGGCTGCAGACACGGCAAACACATGAACCACAGGCAGCGTATCGATTCGTGTGTTTTCACATGGGCACCAGCTAAAGGTTGCTTGTTGTGCCATGCAG